TGACTGATGCCCTGATGGGCAAGTTCAAGATAGTGGTAGGCACTTTGGGCTGTCTGCTGCCCACATCAACTGTCTCCCTGTATGTGTGGTGGGAAAAGCTGTCCTGAGGGCCAAATGGTCCAGTGCCAGCATTCATCTATGCAAATGTTGATGTCTAGAGGCAATTTGGGTGCACTAGAGTATTCAAAATATCCTCCAGTGGCTGTCAAATCTGGTGCAGGGGCTATGAAAGACCTGCTCCCAGGGCGAAATTCCCGTGGCATCTCAACTTGGCAATTAACACTTGGGCAAATGAACTGAACCCTGAGTATCTAATACGGGCTCAAGCTCTTTTGGACTTGCAGGTAACAGAGGAGCTGAACCTGTGGGCCTTATTTTGGTGTGTCAGAGCTGTTGAGATTCCTGTGGTAGAAAAGTTAAACTGGGGGTCTGAGCCTTATGAAGTGAAAGAAGCCCTCCCAGAGAAGCTGTGTGGGAGTAAGGCACTGCACACATACACAGACACACACACACACCAAGTTTTGCCAGCTCATTATGTTATCCAGCAGGGGATTATTCTTTTTTAAAGCAGTGTAAAAGTAGATCAGCTGATAAAAAAGAGCCTTTTTGTTGTGAGAGCTTGCTGAGTTTGGGAAACTGCTTTCAATGCTATTGGCAAATACTCTACAGTGTAAACAGGGCCTACATCAGGCAGATAAATAAGTGCAGATGCGCTTTTCTGTAGGAAGCATTTGGTGATAGACAATATATTGAAAAAAAATTCTCATCAAATTAATTGCGGCCAATTAGACATAACCCCTTCCCCTCTTCCTGAATCCCCTCCAATCACAGCTGCCTGAATGGAAAGAGCTCCTATCACCTGTTTCATTATGCAGATTGATATTCGAACATCTGAGAACAATGCTGCTTTCTGCTCGGCATGGCTCCAAATTGCTAATGAAACAGCTCTGCCAGACAAGTCACTTAAACCCGCTCTCACTGCTGCTGTCGACAGCTCTCACGGCGAGTTGCGGGGGGAGCGGGAAAGGGGCTCTCCACTCTGAATGTGCTAATAGCCCCCAGCCTGTGTGTTTATCGCTCTCCAGAGCAGGAGGATTTCTGCTCTCTGACTCTGAGAGGTTACTTTTCCCAAAGCCATGCTCTGATTTGGACTTAACACTTCTTGATTTCAATTTGTTGAGTAAGGGTTTGAAGAGGTGGACAGCTGCTGAACACAGGCTTCATATCCCAAAGCTATCCCAGCCCTTCAGGCACACTTAGTGTCTGCTTCCCACCCTGAATTCTAGGACCCACTTCTGCCCCACATTCGATGTGAAGTCAGCTCTCTGAGGGATAACTTTCATGGGCGAGAGTGTGTCACATCACCTTGACTAAAAGGGGAGCACTTATGACCAAAGCCCCATGGTGAGCAAGTTGCAGGCTGCAGGTGAGGTACATCCCCATCCAGGGGTCTTTGGCTGCAGATTCCCTCTCAGGCATTCACCCCTTGAGGTACATAGAGCTCGGCAGCAGGACCAGGCTCCAGCTGCCGCAAGTATGATGGGGGGCTTCTACAAGTGTGGTCCCCGTACAGCTCTGTTTGCTGCTCCCTGTGACTCTCTGCAGCTGGGTTTGCTCAGCAACTGGTGCAGTTGCTTATCTTCTCTTCCCCCATTATCACCACATTTTTAACCCAGAGCTTCACAGGGCTCCTCTTTGCAGATGCCTTGGGTAGAGCAGTTGTGACTTAGGGCTCTGGCAGGAGAAACATTTATATGGAATGATGGGACAGTTCTCTCATCAATCTAAATTCTGACCCTTCTGTCAGTATCTGTGGCTAATTCCTTTGTCAGTATTTACTAAGGCGTTGAGATTATCTCTGCACAGGCTGCCTCCATGTTATGGCCCCTGTGCTGTGTCTCAGCTCCTTTCTCATGTCTTGCAGACTCCTTCTCGACTAGCCTGTCAAAGTGCCCTGCTTCCCTGGGGCTGACACTTCTGACTCAGGCCTACTCTCCCAGTCCCAGGGAGAAACCAAACAAGTGACTTTCCTTACTGAACTTCTTGGCAAGAGGGTCAATTAACTTTCTTCCTTATGGATATTCTCTAGTTCCTCCACATGTGTTCCTCCACCATGTTGCCAGGAGAGAACACACTCTTCCCCAGCTGTCCATATATTTTCTGGGAAGGCTTATGTCTTCTTGCTCCTTCAATATGAGCTGTGTGGGGCAGAGTGAGCTTAGAAAGATGTAGCAGTTCTTGGCTCTGGAGAGCATTTTGGAGATCCCTTCACCCCTGAACTGAGCTGTGCTCACCTACTTCCAAGCAACAAATGTGGGGATTTTTCATCTGCCATCTCCTGACAGAAAGCTTCATGCATGTACCTCTGTTATTTCTCAAATGTGAAGAAGTTAGCTGTCTCTTTCTGGCTCCAAATGGACTGTGGAGTCAGCTGGGCATCAACTGCTTTTAGCTTGGCAAACACCAAACCAGGTGGCTGGGGATGAATGTTCCTCTTGGGCATCCAAGCTAAAGATCTCTGGTGTGGGTCCCATACGGATCCTTTCAGACTGTTTCCTGTCTTGTTGTCCACCAGGCTATGGTTGAAGTGTGTGTGCATGTTGGTGTGTCGAGAATAAATTGTATTTGCAGATCTGCTCTGACTGCTTGAGAAATGACCAGGGGGTAAGGGATGATGACTGACTGTGCAGTATGTGGTTTTGTAGAAGCCATCAGCCTGGCTTCCTTCTCTAGAAACATGCTTTTCTGGTTGCCGAAAACAGTAATCTCATTCAAGAAAAATGTTTTAATTTATTTATTGATTGCCCAGGAAGTTAAAAACTAGGTATGGAGCCTTTCATCTCTGGCCACTGAGATGGGCCCTTGAGCACAGGCAGGACAAAGGACACTTCAAGGATGGGATCATTTCCCTTATCACAGCCGTGCCTGACTCTATAATCCTTCTTACTCCAGTTCATAGACCTAGTGATGGAAGCAGACAAAACTAGAGATCCTATCACTGGGAATGGAGGCTGGAGGCATAAAATGGACATTGGATGGGGCCTCTTTTTCTCTTTTTTCTCTTAACACTGTTTGGGCCCAGAGAGAGGCTTTCATAGCTGCTGCTTCTCCAAAGGGCATGCTGAAGCTGAGGTCACACCAATACTGTTTGGACCTGCTTGGTGCTTGTCCTGCTGACTTTACTTTGTTGGAGGGCTCTGTGGGGATGGGGAGTGGAGGCTCGGGGAAAGCAAGTTGCCCACTTTGCAAACTCCTGTTTTAACATGCTGCAGTGATTTTTCTCCCATCAAAGTTTGCTTTCATTACAGATTTTGATAGCTATGAGTTTGTCTTCATCCCTAGAGGGTGCGACAAGGTTCTAAGAGCCACCTTACTGTTTGTTTTGTGTTATGTGAAACCTCTTCATTTTTTTTTTGGTGAGGTGCCAAACTGTGTTTCAAAAACATCCCTGATATTTTCTGTTGGCTAAAAGAAGTAGGACATGTCTTCTCTCTCACACTCTTAGGTGTGCACACACAAACCAGCCCGTCTCACCATCCATACTGGAGAGGTGATTCCTTGCACAACCACATGAGTTGACTGGTACACAGAAAAAGCACACTCTTAGGTGTGCACACACAAACCAGCCCATCTCACCATCCAGACTGGAGAGGTGATTCCTTGCACAGCCACATGAGTTGACTGGTACACAGAAAAAGTGATGTGAATGGTGTGTTCACCTATCACCTCTGCATCACAGACACAGCTCCTGTTTGGCCTGAGTGCTGAGATGTTATGAATGAGATACACTGCTTTAGCGGCTTTGGCCTCCTCATCTGAGTCGACCAGAATCATAATTGGCTTTGAGCAGAACTCAAGAACAAGGCTCATCTGCATGTTTTTTAAGCTATAGCTGTAGACAGCAGCCACATTTCCACTATAGAAGGTAGCAGTTCATGATTGCATATATTCATGTACCAGGTGAGCTCTCGCTGTTAAATGGTCTGATCTTCAGCATGTTCTTGGCATGCTTCTCAAGATCATCCAAAAATACAGCCGCAGTTGGGAGTCAGAAATTAGCACCAGGCAAGCTACTGCTTGATATCAGGGGGGCTGATATATCAGGGAGGTGGTGGGGGGTAGGGTGGCTTCCCTCCATCTAACCTACCTTTTCAACTTTATCTATACTGCTTATTCAATTCCAAGCTTACAATTCTGTGCTCCTTCCCGTCTGCTGGTTCTAGGAGTTTTAAGCAGCCTTGATAATTGACAGTCTAAATTTTACTGCTCATAAAATCCCAGAGAGCATTGATTATGACTTGAGTTAAGCAAGTGGCACATAAAACCTCACAACCTTGCAGCTGTAGCGGAATGTTATGATGAATGTATTTCTTAGTAGCAGCAAAAGGTTTGGAGTATTCAGCCAGCCGGTTCTGGGCACTGAATGTTACTAGTGACTTGAAGCCACTAATAGTATTTCATTTGGGACATTTGCCCAAAAGTTTGAAAGCTGATCATTCGTTTGGTGAAGTGAGTGTGAGGTGTTCTGAGAGACATCTCTCCTATTAATTGCTTTTCCACTTCAGTCAGAATCAAGAAGTGCAAAGGCATCCATGGACCTGAAAAATATACTTTTTAGGAACTAAATGACACTTTATGGATAAAATGTACACAGATTTTCTTGAAAATGTTTGCCTGACCGTGTTCCAAAGCTGCCATTACCTTTTCCCTTTCCTTTTTCCTTTTATCTAACTTTTTCATCTTTGATTACTGGCGATTTTATGCACTTGATCAAGAGTGGAAAAGAGACTGGGTTGCTCAGATTCACTTCTTGGTTCTCTAGGTACTAACAGGAGATGTCTGTGTTTGAAAAGAGTGAAATATGGTATCTTCTTAATCATACTTTCCACATAATAGTAAAATAAAATCAGAACTACCTTTTGAGGAGAGTGTGTTCTTCCATTCAGATGATTGCTTCTTGCTGAAAGATTGTGAGAAATATTCTTTTTCTGTCTCTCCAGTTCCAGAAACCCAACGACTTCTCACCCCCTTTCCGCTTCGGGACAGTTCCCAATGGCAGCACAGAAAGGAATATTCGCAACAACTACCCTGAAATGCACAGCTACATGGTGAAGTTCAATCAGAGGGGGGTGGACGATGCGCTGTTCTCGCTGAAGACTGGGTGAGGCTTCCTTCTTCCCTGCTTCTTCCATCTTCACCAAAGAAATCTGAGTTCTTTGCACGCTTGTCTGGAATTTTTTATTTTTTATTTTTGGGTGGGATTTGGAAAATGAGCATACATTATCATTCCATTGCGGTGTTCAAGGCCAGGTTGGATGGAGGCTTGAGCGACATGGTCTAGTGTGAGGTGTCCTTGCCCATGGCAGGGGTTGGAACTAAATGCTTTTAAGGTCCTTTTGTGACTTAACCATTCTACGGTTCTATGATTCTATGATTAAAAGTATAGCAAGACCAAACACAGCACAGGAGAATAATTCTGTGATTCTCTTAGCCAGGTTTTTATACTGACATCTGTAAAAGAGTTTCTGGCTCTAGTGTGTTTATAAGACTATTGAAAAAAAAAAGGATCTTCTGTATCCTTGTGTAGTTTAGTTTTGTGTGTATTAGTCCCAAAGACCTTGCTTCATCAAGGTGTTTCATGCTGATGTGTCCTTCTGCGTACACAGGAAATGCTCACAGACCTCTGTGGACAAAGTTTTTTTCAGTGTGTTTATATTGTCATCTGGAAATTCTTTTGTTTTCCCTCCTTCTGTGTATAAAAGATTATGTTAATCAGGAAGCTGAAACAATCCTTCTCAGACTAATCCCACCCCAGTGTATCACTAGCTAATATAGTATAATAGAAGGTGTGCTTGAAGCAAATAGTATGGAAGTAGCCTTTCTCTCTGGAATATTTTAGCATCAAGGGCTGAACAAAGTGTTGTTTAAATAACAGGGAAGTATATAAAATGGGAGCATTTCCTTGGGTAATTTGGGAAACATGGGAAAAATCATTTGCAAACAGAATGTTTGAACAGCTCATCCTATTTTAATAACAGTGAATCTGCAAGGGAGCTAACTTAAGTGCCATTTTGCAAGCCTTTGTCCTTTATAATCAAAGACCTCTTGCCCAAGCTGACAATTTTGATTGTCAGAGCCCAGCCCCAGTGAAAAAAGAACCCCAATGTTTTTGCTTACACTTGTGTTGTGCTCTTATGAGAAAGTTCATTCCAAAGCACGAATGAAGATGTTCAGCCAATTTAATTACTAGATTGAATGACTATTCCTAAACCTGTTTGCCAGGTTCAGAGGCATAAAGCCCATTATAAATGATTGTACCATTGTCAGATGTCATCCTGGGAAGGTACATTTGCCAGGAGAGACATTATCCAGGAAATAAATATGCTCTGTCCTGGAAATATATGGATGAAATAGAGCTTATCACTTGCAGTAGATGTCATCCTGGCTTCATATCCACACTTGGACAGACTTCCCTACAGATATGCACAGAGATATTCACCATACTGGAAATACATGTGCAGGAGATGGATTGAAAAGATAGCATGGGTGTGAGAATGTGTTAGGTGGAAGGTCTTTGGTCTTTTATTGAAAGGTGCTTCATTTCAGATCTAGTGGGAGGATTTACTCATCACCTCTCTTCAGTTATGTGGAAGATGCAGCCCCCTGAGACCGCCCCCCACACCTAAATCAATTTATTGCAATGAGAGGAAGGCTCTCATCAGTCTGTTGTGCTGTCTACCCAGCCCAGCCCTTAATGGGGATTTTCCTGTGTTGAAACTGATTTTTTTCTTGTGGTTTTCAGCTAAGTACTCACTGCCAAAGTGCTGCTCAGCCCAGTAAACCATAAAGCTGCTATGGTGGCCACTTGACATTGGTAAAGATCCAGTAGTGCTTTTCACAGTAACCAGGAGTGATGTTATGGCTATATTTGTTTTGAAAAAACTACATTTTGCTCAGCTAAGTCATGCCAGCAGTTTGAATCTGAGATAATCTTTTCCTTCCTCCACCCCCTACTTGGTTATCTAACATTGATGCATTTTATGAAGCATTTTAGGTTCCTTTGAGATGAAAGGCCGCACAGAAATATAAGCTATTCTTAGGACTATAGATCTTCCTTGACTTCCTCTTTGTTTGCCTTTATCATGCAGTATGTTTATATTCCACATTTTCTTTCCAATCAGAAACGGTGATTATCAAAGAGACAGAAAGAAATAGACAGTCCTCATTTATAATCTAGCTTCCCCTGTAAACGGGTTCTAGGCTTAGATTTTAGTTAATTCTGATGAAGAGGAAGATGCAACCTACTGTAGTCTGTCTGAAAGAGGTTCATTTCTGCCTTAGTTACCTGAGAACACCTTTGAACTCATATAGATTCTCTCTTTTCTGCATCATGCCTCTCTTGTTTCTTGCACATGCAGGAAGTTGGATGCTTTCATTTATGATGCAGCAGTGCTAAATTACATGGCTGGCAGAGATGAAGGTTGCAAGCTGGTGACGATTGGGAGTGGGAAAGTGTTTGCCTCCACTGGCTATGGCATTGCCATCCAAAAGGACTCGGGCTGGAAGCGCCAGGTTGATCTTGCCATTTTACAGCTTTTTGGAGATGGTAAGTGACAAGAAAAACAGGAGTTTGAGTTTTCCTAAGAAATACCAAGTTTTGCATGTAAGAAATAGATGTTCCCAGCTCTGTTGCTTCATATTTGAATTGAGAACAGGAAATTACTAACAAGGGTTTGTTAAGAAGCATTGCACCAAAATGTGAGATGTCGCTTGTTTTAGGTTGTTGATGCAGGCTGGCAGTATCATCAAAAGCAATGTCAAAAATACTAAAGGTTTCATAGAAGCAGCTCAGATATGTGTTTGAAAAATACCTTGTGTGAAGAAGGTCTTGTAAAAACAAGATTCCTGTTGTGAACTTTTCACTAGCTTTGAGGTTTTGCCATGACTAAATGCATTAATTATACTGGCCTTTCTGCGGTCATCCCATGCTTTATAGTTCCATACAAAATCAAGCCATACAGATTTTACAAAATTTAAAGAAATATTTCTGGATGAAGGAATTAACTGAGATTTTCCAAAACCTAAAAAATCAAGGGAGAACTTGAGACTCAGAAGCACATTTTGGAGTGAATTTTTACTCCGAACATTATAGTTTTGTGGGATAAGGGATTATTTCTTAAAAAATATTTTCCTGGCTTTCCCTTTCCATTCCGTATTAAGTCTTGTTGTTTCCCTTTTTTAATAAATAAAATTCAAAGGTTATTTTACTTATAAGTTGTTTTTTTCCCCCTGAAATCTCAAAATAACATATGGTATAATAAATATGGAAAGAACATAGCTCTGAAAATTAGCCACCTGACGGATAGGGTGTTATGTCTCCTAAACAGCCTAATTTGTATTATTTCAGAAAAAGATGTAAGTTCTCCATAAAGCTTCAAAGACTGTGCTACGGCAGCACATAAATATACATATTTTTTCCCTCTGCCGCTGGACTGCAGGTTGAAAATGTGAAAAACTAACTTTCCTAACAGCATGAAATGAATTGCCAACCTGCAAAATTAGTTTGTTTCTGAATGTCTCAATATGTGTGTGTGTGAGAGTTTATCTCTCTTTCTCTCCACTCATGAAAATACCATAATGGGAGTAAGTGGGGTATGAAATTAGACTACAGAACATTTGTTCCTAGCTGATACAATTTGGTAGTATTTTTGATTGGTCGAAGAGTTTGAAAGTGTTGGATTTCAACAAAATTAAAGGGAAGAAAAACAGGTAAAAACACACAAATATTTTGGGAACATTGCACCTAGTTTTAATGAGCTACAGGTCCGATGGAAACGCATTCAAAGTCAGACATTCTGATTACAAAAAAAACCCCAAAAAACCATTTTCAGTTTTGGGCTGAAAACGTACAATGTTTTCACATAGAAGTGACTTGGTTTTTTTCTAACTACGTCAGTCACTGATTATTTCCCTCATCAACCTAACATGAAGGTGGAAGTTTGTGAGGCTAGGTCTTCAGTCATCTGGTGGGCAACTTTTTCAGTATCTTACTGTAGACATTTGGCAAGTGTGATAGTTGTGTCCTGTGGTACAGCTTTTTGTGGCTAATAAAAAATGTTTGGCTGTGGAAAAATGCTGTTGCCCTCCCTGTGACAAAATGCACCTGCCCGTAACAAAAGGGCAGTAAGGATATTTCATGGATGTACTAGATGTGGAAAAAGAACGTGGCCACTGGAAATGACCTTATATCAGCTTCTTGCTTTCAGCCTTCCCCAGCTTGAGGTCTTTAACCATTGCAGGGCTATCTATCTAAGCTGTTTCGTTCCTTCTCTCTGTCTTTCTAGGGGAGATGGAGGAGCTGGAAGCACTGTGGCTCACTGGCATTTGTCACAATGAGAAGAATGAGGTTATGAGCAGCCAGCTGGATATAGATAACATGGCAGGTGTCTTCTACATGCTGGGAGCAGCCATGGCCCTCAGTCTCATCACCTTCATCTGTGAACATCTCTTCTACTGGCAATTCCGCCACTGCTTCATGGGTGTCTGCTCTGGCAAGCCCGGCGTGGTCTTCTCCATCAGCAGGGTGAGTGTCATTAACTAGCAGGGAGGAACAGATGCTTTATTCAGACAGTCCTAGGTACTGGAGATGGGGAAATCCACCACAGCTGTCTAACACACAGGTGGCATGGAGTGGTGGTTTGCAGGATAAAGGCTGTCCTTAGCTAAGGCCAAGGTGTCTTTTCACTCTTAATGTTGCAAAACCATCTAATGTTTTTCTGTGACAACTCTGGTCTCTGCTGGATTATGGTCATGGAAATGGAAACTTCCTATGGAAATGAAAATGCAGTATCAAGAGAAGTCAGCTGTAACTGTCTGCTCCTCCAATGTGAGTTGTGAGAAGGACAAATTTGGGGACAGTAAGTCAAGTAATGGTGGATAACATAATTAGAAATCCAGGAGTTTTTCATTGTCCTCTATATTACAGCTTTTCAGCTGACCTTATGCTAGTTAGAAGTGTGCTGCCTTTGACAGTCAGAAGTCCCTAACCAAAAGCCATGCCTTAAACCATGTGGAGAGGATGCCCACATAAACCTAGCAATAGCTTTATGTAAATCAGCCTTAGGCTGTGATATTTGCATTTAGAGCAGATTCTAGTAATTTCTGAGTCATCTTTCTCCTATCAGTGCAGCTAGCAGTGTGCAATTTGGAGCTTTTTTTGTCTTCTTTCAAGCCACCGGTCCCTTCTCCTGATCCATTCTGAAGTGAGGTCAAATCTCAGCATTTTCGACCCCAGTGACCGATGTAACAGAATTAACTTTGATCGTGCAAGGAGTATGTAATTGCTACATAACATACTGTTGAGGAGAAATGACAAAGCTTTTGAATGCAGGGGGCACAGCCTCTTTTCTGTAGTATTAGTTTCTAGGCTGGTTTAGTCTAGAGATAAGATGGGGGATTGTGTTTGGTGATCCTTAGCTAACTACAGGTTCTTTCATTCTGGGGTTATCTGCTAGATCTGGGCCAGGTTGGTGAAAAGTCTTAAAAAGTGTTAATCATCTGCTAGCTGCTCAGAAACTATGGTAACATGATGTGATGGTGTCCATTTCACAACTGACTTTAATCAGCAGGCACCATTTGGCAGGCCAGGGAGTAAATGAGCTCCTTCTGCTTCTAGGGATAGCCCTTGTAAACCATCTGTGTCATGGATGAAATGAGGTAGTGGGGAATGCGGAGGAATCAGGCACTTCTGCTGACTGATTTGAAGTTGAATAGAGTATTTTTGCTTTCAGGGATGTCAATTTGGAGCCTGTTATCACTGTTAAATTTAATAGAATGCAATTAAAATTTCTATTGTACCTCACTCATCCAGGTGCAAAAGACCTAAATACCTATCTGGCAGAAGCGCTCTTTCTCTGTTTCCTTTGCTAATTTGTACCGGTGATTAATGCAGCTAAGTTTATGACAAATGAAGCTGTTCCCTTTCTAAGATAGCTTCTCTCTCATTGATTCACTTATGTCCAGATGAATTTCAAGGGCCAAACTAGACTCTTCCTCTCAACCACACAGAATCATTTGTCTTGATGACTGTGTTCCCAAGGTATGATTGACACCATTTGCAATTCCATGATACACCTATTGGATTTGAGTAACTTTTACAGATGCGAGCAGATATTCCTGCATCCTAGAGATGTGACATGAAGCAAAGCAGAGAAAGAGGAATGGAGGGGAAGGAAAAAATGTGAGGGGCAAGAAAGAGGGGCAGAACAGCAAAGGTTGGTAGAGCAGATCTAATCTAATTTGATTTGATTGCATTCCAAGATGGAAGGCTGACAGGCCTTGCTGTCTTACAGGAATATGCTGTTGCCACACAGGGTGTTTCCCAGTCCAAGTTCCGTTTTGTGTAGTCTTTGCAGGACCACTTACCTTCCTGCTTTCTTGCGTTTCAGGGTATCTACAGCTGCATCCATGGTGTGGCCATTGAGGAACGCCAGTCAGCAATGAACTCCCCCACAGCAACTATGAACAACACCCATTCCAACATCCTCCGCCTGCTTCGGACAGCCAAGAACATGGCCAACCTGTCAGGGGTCAATGGCTCACCACAGGGTGCCCTGGACTTTACCCGCCGTGAGTCGTCGGTCTATGATATCTCCGAGCACCGCCGCAGCTTCACCCACTCGGACTGCAAGTCCTACAACAACCCCCCCTGCGAGGAAAACCTCTTTAGTGACTATATTAGTGAGGTGGAAAGGACCTTTGGCAACCTCCAGCTGAAGGACAGCAATGTGTATCAGGACCACTACCACCACCACCACCGCCCCCACAGCATTGGCAGCACCAGCTCCATCGACGGGCTCTATGACTGTGACAACCCACCCTTCAACGCCCAGTCGCGGTCCATTGGGAAGAAGCCCTTGGACCTGGGGTTACCCCCTGCCAAGCACAGCCAGCTGGGTGACCTTTACGGCAAGTTCTCCTTCAAGAGTGACCGCTATGGGGGCAGCGGGGCCCACGATGACCTGATCCGCTCGGATGTCTCTGACATTTCCACTCATACGGTCACCTACGGCAACATCGAGGGCAATGCAGCCAAGCGGAGGAAGCAGCAGTACAAGGACAGCCTGAAGAAGCGCCCGGCCTCTGCCAAGTCCCGGCGGGAGTTTGATGAGATAGAGCTGGCGTACCGCCGGCGCCCACCCCGCTCGCCCGACCACAAGCGCTACTTCAGGGACAAGGAAGGGCTACGAGACTTCTACCTGGACCAGTTTCGAGCCAAGGAGAACTCGCCACACTGGGAACACGTGGACCTGACGGATATCTACAAAGAGCGGGGAGATGAGTTTAAGCGTGACACAGGAGGAGGAGGTGGTGGGTCCTGCACCAACAGGGCCCACCACAAGCATGGCTCAGGCGAGTTTGGAGGAAGCAACGAGCACAAGCATGGAGGAGTTGTGAGTGGGGTCCCAGCGCCGTGGGAGAAGAACCTGACCAACCTAGAGTGGGAGGATCGGTCCGGGGCTAATTTCTGCCGCAGTTGCCCTTCTAAGGTGCACAACTACACGCTGGGGCAGAACTCCACCCGCCAGGCTTGCATCCGCTGTGAGGCGTGCAAGAAAGCGGGCAACCTGTATGACATCAGTGAGGACAACTCACTCCAAGAGCTGGACCAGCCACCTGCCCCCGTGCCCGTGGCCACCAGTGCCACCTCCTCCTCCAAATATCCTCAGAGCCCTTCCAATTCTGCCTCCAAGGTGCAGAAGAAGAACCGCAACAAGCTCCGTCGGCAGCACTCCTATGACACCTTTGTGGACCTGCAGAAGGATGACTCAGCCCTGGCCCCCCGCAGCGTCAGCCTCAAGGACAAGGGCCGCTTTTTGGAGGGGAGCCCCTACGCCCACATGTTTGAGATGCCAGCCAGTGAGACCACCTTTGCCAACAACAAGTCCTCAGTGCCCGCCACCAGCTACCACCACCACAACAACCCCGGCAGCAGCGGGGGCTACATGCTCAGCAAGTCGCTCTACCCCGACCGGGTCACCCAAAACCCTTTCATCCCCACTTTTGGGGATGACCAATGCTTGCTCCACGGCAGCAAATCTTATTTCTTCAGGCAGCCTGTGGTGGCAGGAGGGCCCAAAGCCAGGCCAGACTTCCGAGCCATTGTCACCACCAACAAGCCGGTGGTCTCAGCCCTTCATGGGGCTGTGCCAGCCCGTTTCCAGAAGGACATCTGTATAGGGAACCAGTCCAACCCCTGTGTGCCTAACAACAAAAACCCCAGGGCTTTCAATGGCTCCAGCAACGGGCATGTTTATGAGAAACTCTCCAGTATTGAGTCTGACGTTTGAGTGAGAGGGGAAGAGCGCGGGGAGGGACTGGGGGTGTATGTGGAGCATGGGAGGGTGGGGTGGGATCAATCCCATCAGCTACTCTTCTAGGTCATTCTTAGTTTGTGGGATACTGGAGTTCTGAGTAGTGCAGCACTGGTGACAAGTGCCACCTCTTTGGTTTCCCCACTTCCTCCTCCTCTTTCCCACCCCTTCCCTTTTATCTCTTTTTCCATGTTCTCGCTCCTCCCATTCTCCTCCATTCCTGGCCATTGCACTTTACAGTGACGTTGGAGTTGGATATACTTGCTCATGATTTCAGGAAGTGGAGAAAATGGCAGGGAAGGGGTGGGCTGAGGGCGAGTGGCAGTGACTCTAGCATTTTAGTTTTGCTGGCTCCCAGCAGAGAAAGGCACTGTGCACACACACGTGCGTGTGGCAGGAGGAGACAGCAGAAGCAGTGTAATGGACATGCAGGAAAATACGCTTGCTCAGGCAACTCTTCCTTCAACTGCCTAGAAGAGAGTAGTGTTTGAAGACGTGGAGAAAGTGAAGGGGGAATAACATGACTAACTTGATGATGCACTTATATGTTAGCTATACTGAGGTTCTCATTACATTATTTTGTGAAGACTATGGGGGTTTAGGGCTGAAATATATATATATTTGCGTATATGCTGAGAAATTTTATGCTAAAAATTTGAATTGTCTGCTGGGGGGTGTGAGGGGAGGGAGAGAAGGCCTGTCTGCAGGTCTGCCTAGTGGTTTCACTATGGCTGTTAGAGCCATTGAATCTCTGGCAGACCAGTGGGAGAGATGGAAAGGAAGTGGGGTCTGAGTTTGGGAAAGTAACCCTGGAGTCAGGGAGGTTGCTGGGATCTCTGACAGAGGATGCTGGTTCGCATTGAAATGAGAGGAGTTTGGGGAAAGGGGCACAGGGTTGGTTCAATAGCTGTGAGTTGGTCACTAGTTGTGACATACTTCAAGGGTGGGAGCAGTGTAGAGCGTGGGTTAGCCTATACGTGAGTATATACGATAACTTTATACTTGAAATGTCTGTGGAGAAAGCAAAATAAATTCATCATCCTATAAGGTGTCTGGATTTGGTACTTGAGGAAGAAGTAGGCTGGGGAGTTTTGTCACTGTCACTTCAGGGGACACCAAGATTATTTTGGCATGTCCTTTCAGCAAGGAGGGCAGGGAAAAAAGGTTTTCATCCTTCTGCCCTCCCTACCCTTGGCCAGCAGGTCAGAACAAAAAGAATAGGGTGCCCTCTGCCAACGCTGGCATGGTGCTGGAGAGGAAGAAAAATGCCATGAAACAGTGCATGTGGTGGCGGCGGTGCTGGTGGACTGTTTCAATGCCTCCTTGCACATGTGGAAATGGGAGGAGGGTGTGTGCACCCATGGGAAATACATATGTATATTTGCTACTGAATGTACAGGGGAAGTACATGGCTTGTCTTCCTGCAAAGCGGTGTGCTTGAATAAATGCCAGAGAGCACAGAAACTTGTGCTGAGGGATGAAGACAAGATGTGCAAGGCTGAGAAGTGTGTGTATGTACATGTATGTGTGCCTCTGTGTGCGAGAGAGAGAGAGAGATACTAGCACAGGTGCAAAGCTGGAATAGCCTAGGGTTTTCCATCCCTGCAGTTGTAGTGACAGCTTTCCTGGTGCACCTAGTATCAATATGAGCGTTTTTTTCTTTCCGTTGTATCATTTTAGATGCAAGTTAAACTAAAGGCAAGGGAGCAATGGTAGGAGTGAGAAGGTGAACTCCCCTTTCATATGTCTTCTTTCTCCTGAGGTGGGGTATGGACCGACCTCTCCTGTCCTGAGAGATGTAGCTAAGTCTCTCCTGCTTATCCTGGATCTGTCCCAGTGTTTTGATGACCGTGGCTTGCCAGGGGAAGGGTTGAGAGCCCTGTGCTGAGGGCATGGGGACACTGCTGGGACTGACTCTGAAAGGAGATGGCAGCCCTGTCTTTATGAGCCACACTTCTTGGAGCTGAAAGCCACCTCTCTCACTTTCCTCACTGCACCCTTGTTGATTTTATCTTATCTTTCTCTTTTTAAGCCAACAAAAGGCCTTTTATTTCTTTACCTATTTATTTTATTTATTTTTTACAGCTGGGGTGGGGGGAGGGTGGGACTTGCCTGTAAAGTCAGAGTGTGAGGAGAGGGTGGGCAGGGTTGGTGCGGGGAATATTTTCTTAAATTTCACTGAGGAAATTAAGGAGGGAAGAGGGGGAGAGTCTTTGTAACGCCACCCCTTAGTCTTTGGGGTAAAGAAACTTCTTTTTTCTTTCCCTCTTCTCTCATTACAAGGACAAAAAGAAAAAAGAAAAAAAAAAAGAAACGAAAAGAAACAAACAAAAAAAGAAACCAAACAAATTAACAGAGCGATCTGCAATCCAGAACACACGGCAGCTTGTCAGAGCCCTCTGGCAGCGGCCACCAAGAATGCGTTCCTTTCATTTGTAAATATTTCTTTTTTATTGCGTTTTTGTATAAATCGGTGTTTCTCTTCTCGTGAATATTCAGGTTGTGGGGTGGGAGGGAGGGGAAGTTTGTTTCCGTTCTGTTTGTTTTCTACGACTTTTCAGGCTGCGTTTTTGGAAGCGGTTTACGCGGGTCGAGGCCGTATGAATGAGGAAAAAGAGAGAGAGAGAGAGAAACCCATGTGTGTTGTGTTCCCCCAAGGCCCCCTGTATTGCCCTGTCACCTTTATCTTCATGAATGGAAGACGCCGGAACGTCACTTCAAGCCTTGCCAGCAGGGTTTCATGTTTTGATGGGAACACCCCCAATTCCTTTTTGCGTATAAACTCTCTGTACCAGCATCTCTCTGTGGAGTTTGGGCCTCAAGGCACTACGCTGTCTTGATAGTGGTGGGGTGAACCATCAAGTTGGCCGCTCAGGTTGGACCATCACTTTGACATTAAGAGACTTCTCCAATGCTACTTTGGTTTAGAAATCTTGGACCTGGGAAAGCTTGTGATAAATTCTGGTATTTCCTAAAGGGCTTGGGGGGGAGCTTGACAGCTGGCAAGGGCAGCTAATCTCTTTGGCGGTTATCTCGGTACTTTTCCGTCCCTCCCCACCTGGAACGAGGAAACCTGGAGGGTGGCTCTGCAGGGAAATTAAGCCGAAAACAAACCAAAAAGAAGTTAACGGAACTTTTTTCAAATCTCTTCTTAAAGGTTCTGATTTTTGTGTTCCGGGGTGAAAGGTGGTTCGTATTTTCTCCGAACTGGTCTGTCCCTTGTTCTACTGATTGGCAAATGATAGTTTGCCAGAATCATTATCTAGTGTTGATACTGTTGTAGCACTGTTAACACTCCGAGTGCTCTGCAAATATTAACTGTGCCACAAACCACTCAAATGAATGCTCTAGGGCAACCAGAAAAGAAGAACTGGAAATTCTGGACTGAACCACTGGTCTAACAACAGGAGCCTGGTATTTTGCCTTCTCCCATAATAGATTAGGCCACGTGTCCATCAGGTTAATCTTTTCTCCTATAAGCGATCTTTTCTGGTTGCTTTGTTTATTTTAGTTCTGACAGGTCAACAAGTTTTGGGGCAGAGATGAAGGGGAAGGGGTGGGAGGGGGGAGGGTGTAATTCATAATCCAGAAAATAAATGGATGATGTTATTAAACTCTGATTATATATTTAGAATTTTAGATTTGGTGTATTTTCATTCTAAGTATTCAAGTGAATCGATCAGGTAATATTAGCAGCAGGTGTTGTCTATACTAGAAAACCACCCATGTGCTGTTTATTACCTGTGCAGAAAAGAACGGGATTTCATACCAGACCCTGACAAAACTCCACATCTCCCCCCTTGCCATTTCTCTCTCTCTCCTGTAGAAGCACCAGTATTTTCTGGGGCAGTGGCTAGGAACATTTCCCCTCTCTGAAAGTTTCTGCATACAAGAATACTGAGAAAAAAAAACATTGTGTCCTCTACAGTTCGGTGACCTCTACCGTATATTTGCAGCCAGCCTCCCAGGAAAGATTAGGCAACTTTGGCAATGTTTCTGACATTTACCTCCTCACTCTAGCCCCAGGCATGGCTCTCTGAGAGGTATTTTCAGGAGCCATGTTCTTCTGAAGTGGTGCTGTAGTGTCTGTGCTCAGCTGAAGGAGGATGTGTATGAAAGAGACGGAGGAAATAATATTCAAAAAATACCAGAAATGTGCCACGCACGATGAGAAGCAGCTGGCAGGTAGAACTTGCAGCCGTGGATTTCCACATCACAAACCTTCTTGGAGTAGTCACACCAGTTTTTTACAGTAGAGCAACACAACACAGGCTGCTGTAGTAGTTCTCTGACTCCCATCACACCTCCCACTGAGGGCAATATCAGAACTTGCCGTGTCGTATCATAAGTAGGAACGAAAAGCTGCAGTCAGGACTTGTTGTCAGTTGAGACAATGAAGCACACCGGCCCCACCTCCTCAGCAAAATCCCATTCCGTTCTCTCTGAAATCCAGCGTGCGCCATCAGAAATCTCCAGGCAAGAACCCCAGTGGGTTTAAATGCTCAGCAATATGCAAGTTTGAACTTTGCCCGTACTGATATTTCAATTTTCAGTGCACGGGGGGAGGAAGGTTCCTTTCTAAAGTCCTAAGGGATTTGGTGAAGGAGTTAAGGGTTGTCAGGATGGGCCTCTTTGCTTCTGGCTTCTTTAGCAATGCATGCTGACATTGAACTCCTCACTCCAAGAAGACACTAGCATCCATCTCGAATAAAGCCCTTTTGTACTTTCAAATCAGGGTTGTTTCTCACAGCAACATTGCCAGCAAAAGAGAGAGGGGGAGACAGAGAAAGAATGTGGTGGTGGTGACAGGTTGGAGTGATCAGAGATACCTCAGGGATCTTTATAGGCAAGTCTTTGCTTTAGAGCTTTCTATCAAATGTGGCATATCCTCCCACCTCCATTGCTTATCAACAGATGGAAGCAAGACTGGGAACGCAGCCAACGATCAGACTTAGGCCTTTCGCACATCCTCCACT